TCCCCCACCATGGACCCTTTTCCCCTTTTTAGGGTCCCTGAAAGTAGCCCAGGAGATAATCCTTCTCAAGTTACTCATTTACTAGACGGGATACTGAGACACAGAGACGGTTATTTGCTTGTTTCCCTCAACAGAAACGGGTGCTCCCTATGGAAATCCCACCCTTTTACTCAAGGTCCATATCTTGCATTGTTCCATTACTCTTTTCTTAACAAGAACGTAGATGTTAAGAAAATAGGAACCATTCCTTTAACTGTCTTCCTACACAGGGTGTGTATCACAGTATGTGCTCAATAATACTGTAGAAAAGATGTAAATAAACAGAGCTTGTCCTGACTCTTAATATCATGTACCCTAAAGGAAAACGGAGTAGGATAAACATATCAATCCTCTGCTCAGATAAACTGTAGGAGTGAAATAGTTGCTTAATGGTTCTTTGTGTTTAAATGGCCACTTTTGATAGGCTATGCCCAAGCACGGATTTCAAAATTAAAGTGGCTTCCAATAAATACATCAGTCAAATCAATTTGGCAAGCATGTATTAAATTCAAAGACCTTATACTGTAGTTAAAGGACAATACTTTCTCACATGAAAGAGAATGAGGTTAATATGACAGAATAGAATTTAATTCAAGTGTTTATTGAATGCTCACCATGAGTCAAAAAATGTGTAGCTCTGAGCTATTCAAGGTTGGTGGCTGCCAAAGTTACTAAGGGTCACTTTACAAATGTGGTGAGAATTAAAACAGGCTTTACATGACAGGGGGGAAAAAAAAGCAAGGCTGATAGGAGGAAGAGGAAGAGGAAGAGGAGGATCTGCCAGGTCTGAGAATTAGCTAAGCAGTGGGGTTGATGTGGAAACTCATGGATCTGTGTAGACTTTGGCCAGGGTTGTGGTTACTAACTGAGAAGAGGTGGGAATTTCATGATTCGATAAATAGCAGCAACCAGCTTTGATGGGGGAATGAGACTGGACTCGACTGCTCAGACAATGGGGAAGCACACTAAATTTCTGAACATCACAGGGACATGTGGAGGTGTCAGTGACATACAGAGTAGAGAAAGCACGCATTAGTCTAAGAGCGAATTGATGTATGCTGTCATTATGGTGGTGTGATGGCACCAAAGAACAAAAGAGTAACCCATTGTAAGAATAGTCAGAATAATTTAAGGATATGTTGTTTTACTGGTAGGAAAAGTTTTAGGGGAGAAATGAAAGATGTTTTCAAGTTTGGTGATTGGGAGAATGGAGATGTTCCACTAATGATATAAGAAGTAAGAGAGGAAATGAGGAGTTCATGTGGTAAGAATAGGATATATTGCATGTGACAGGATAATGGACTTTCAGATTGAGATGCTAAATAAATTTCAAAATAGGAAATTGGAGCTGGAATTAGGGGTGAGGATGAAGACAATGACTTTTCTATCAAGAGAAAATACACCTCTCTCCTCCCAACCACACATTTATCCTTTCTTATTAGAATAAGTAATGTGAAAGTCCAGGATGGGGCCAATGTTAAAACATGTTTGGACTGAGGCCACTGTCTCCAGGCATCTCTGAGATACCTTGTTCAAGGCTTTGTGGGTAGTTCAAGGTCAAACTATTAATTAGTTGCTTTATGAATTGTCCATGAACGGACGGTCTCAGTTTGATCTGAGAACTAGATGTTGGAAGAGAGTAAGAGGTTTTGTGTCATGTACACATCAAAATGTATAGAGCACAAATTGTGAACACAAAATGGACTCGAATAATTTTGATAGTTATGTCAGTCACAAAGTGACAGTCATGCCAGAGCATCACATGAAAGGGGTGCCCAGTGAATGCCCCACCGGATAACTCCAGATGCAGGGTGGAGTGTGACCATCTGGACAGCTTTATCGGACTGCAGACAGGTGCACAGCACCCAGTCTTGGGCATAAATTCCGAGCTTTCTGACGGCGCATTGCTCAGGCCTCAACTGATGAGCTGACAGCAACACCTGCACTCATCCCAGAGGGAGCACTTGAAGTCTTGCCTCCTGACCATCTCACCAGCCTGGCCTGATGCCCAACGCGAAGCACCCAGCACTGTAGGGACTCTCGCTGAACACCAGACTCTTGTTCTCATCCTGTTTTGACTCTCTCTCATCCTTCTTTCGCAAGACTGTCCTCCTTGCCTCACCCTATTGCTTATAAACCTGTGTGACCCTCTTGTGTGAAGCCGCTCTACCTCAACTATTGGAGACTCTCCTCAGTTAATGCCCATGGGAAACTGAATCAGTAGGACTAGATTCATGGTTTTATTCTAACATGGTGGAAAAACACAAACGTGAGTGAGACAGCTACTTTGATAGCCACGACCCACTCACGACACAAAGAAAAGACCACGGGTTGGGGAGTGGGAGTGGGGAGGGAGGTGCATTTACTTCGCTCACGCCCTTGGCTCTCTTGTGTGAATTCTAATAAAGTGATCCATGTCCCCCAGTTCTTACATATCTGAGACAAGAGAGCACATAGGTTACCAACAATAGTTTCACTTGAACTTTCACCCCCGTAACATCACAGTCCGCTCTCCCACTGCCCACCACACATATGCACCTTCCTGTCTCCTGCTGGAGTGTTAAGATAACACGCTCCTCCCTTCATGGCTGCCGTTGAGGTCCTCCTGTAGCAAAACAAGGGGTATCTCTTTGCCACTGCTTCACCCATAATGTCACTCCAAAGCCAAGGCATGTGCCTCTGATGTTTAGCATATTGGTGTCATTCTAGTTCTTTCTTGGTCTGGAATTTCTTACAGGCAGACTGTTTGGCTCACAGAGTTCTGCATTTGCTCCAAGCGATGAGAGCTGACCGGAAAATGGTTGGTCTCACTGGTGACACTTCCAACTTTTCACGGTCCCTTTTGCCCCTTCTCTTTCTGTCCACACTGCTCTAGCTAGCACACAAGGTCCGGCCAGCCTCTGTGTTAGTTTATTTGAGACATCCAAGCAAAGGCCATGCTATCTTAAGCCATCACTATTGTGTACCTACTCCTTAATTTGAGTCACCTTTGCAGAGTCTAACAACAAGCCTAGGACAAAATCTCACATAAATGAAAGAATAACATCTGTAGTATTATTCTGTGTTACACTCAAGGTCTTTTCTCTCCTACCATTGCCTCTGGACGGAGCTCTAAAAACCAGGTCCTGACTAAGCTTAGGGCAATTTCCCTGCCATGCGAAGGGCACACTATATGGGGGAATATGTCTCTTGTCACAGTTCTCATCTGCAAGGCCTACTGCTAGATCAAATGTATACAGCCATCTTCTCTGCCCAAAGACTCAAGGATTCCATTATGCATAGAAATTATGGAAGGCCCATCTTTACCTGTTATGTCATGCGAGCATCCTGTTGAAGACACTCAGCTTAGTTACACACACACACACACACACACACACACACACACACACGTGCGCGAACCCTCACTATAATAATAGTAACAAGAGTAACAATATTCAGAGACTCTACTAAAGATAAATGCTTTCTTTCAGTAACAAAGACCATGTGTTTCAGGAGATGTAACCAGCTATTATACAGGGTTATTTGACTGATGCCAGTTGCCTAATCTCATGTAAAACATATTCTATATTCTTTGAAATCCCTGATATAAACTGGAAGTTAGTTTAGGATAATTGGTTTCAAAATAAAGATTAAATCATAATTCATTACCCTAGTCAAGTCCAAAAATTTCTTGGTCAGGACTTTCAGTCATTTTCAGTCATTTATAAAAGACAAAACATGGCTACTTTGATAACCCTGCTGATCGTTTCAAGCTGGTCTTTATGAGCATGAAAATGATACTCGTTTCAAAATATTATCTGACAGCTCAAGGGGTCCATTTTTTTTTTACTGCCAGTAAAATAATAGTTTGGAAGAGGAAAAATGAACCCAAACTGTAAGTTATGAGAATAAGTTGGACCCCATCATCTCTCTGAGAGTATGACTGATTCAGTTAATAATCTTTCAGGAAGTGCATCACAGTGCAGCAGGAGAGAATTCTGATCTTTTTTTTTGATGCAGCATAAATTACATAAAAAAAAAAAGAAATGGGAAAACGCTGAGAGACGAAAAGTATAATTCACCTATTGCCATTTGATGCCAATCAGAAATAGCAAGTTCGCTCCTAAATTGTTATAGCGATTTTTCATGCATGTCTAGGTAAAAGCAGCTGGCTCATGTTCAGATCTAAATCCTACTAAGACTTTTAAGTACTTATTTAAAAGGTCACAGCCTTAGATATTGTTCAGAGAAGCTGAAGTGAGAGGTCCCATGGAAAGAAGACCAGGGTAGAAACAAAGAAGTCAAGGGGACAGAAGACCCCTACTGTTCCCAAGAGAGGCCGGTGTGACCACCAAGACACAGACGGGTGAAAATTCAAACAACTATTTGTAGAACAATTGTATTGTGAAAATTAAAGGCAGATGCTTTTGCTATTGTTGGTAAGAGATGGAGTGGAGAGTATTAGCTTCATGGCTGCTTTGAATCTGTGACATTTATATTCTTGTAAAGATATTTTTATCCCTGAAGTCTCTGGAAGATTCCTTATACACTCCACAGATTTTACCAGGAAATTTATTTGATTCTGATCTTGTTACCCTTATGCAGCATATTGCCCACATGCACAAGATCAGGTCCACCCCCGGCCCCACCCGCAGCTTAGGAGGTCACACGCCATCTGCTACTATTTTTCTCATCTTCTCTTTTTACCATATACCCTCCACTTCAGTTATGTTAATGTATGTGTGTAGGTCTCTGAACAACGGGTACCATTTCCCATCTGGGTGCGCTCTCAAATGGCGTTCTCTCTGCCTGGAAATACTCTCCACTCTACAGTCAGCGTCCCAGTGTAATGCTGAATCCTCCAACAACTGGCAGGTTTCTCCCAACAGATCCTGTCAAGGTTCGCTTTGCATAGTTCAGCCAAGTAGCACTGTTTTTCTGTGACGGACCAACCCCAACACTGAACATACAATTAGACTTACAAAATGATGCTCTCCTGAGTCCATTCCTGGACCCCCAACCTGGGGCACTGGAGTTTGGCTGGACTCTGTCATCTGTGGGGAGTCACAATCAGGACGAGGAGAATGATGACGACAATGATGACAGCCACTGTATCAACACCCTTTGGATGTTCCATGTACCGTCCTCCGAAGAGTGAAAAACCCATCCTGTTAAAAGGCACAAAGTGACCTATCAAAATGAACTCTTCCCCCCAAAGCTTAATAGGTGTCCTTTAAATCACACGATGTTACCTTAAATTCTCAAGCTACCGAACAGAAATGGCTACTGTTTACTTGGATTCATTTTTGGCTGGCTTATAAAATTATTCTCTACACTATATTAGACTTGTCAGTGTTTGAGAGCAGCTGATGTGGCTCCTTAGACATGTTCAAAAGGAATCTAATTAAAAAGGATAAGGTGTCTTTTCAACCAAGAACACAGAATGCCTGGCCTGGATCTGAACAGTAGGCACAGCAGGGGACAGAAGGCAGGTGGAGTCCCCTGATGGGAGCTGGGGGTGGGGGAGAGGCCCTGGAACACCTCGCCCAGGGCTACTTTCTCCTGAGCAGCGGAGTGACAGGATGAAAACAGTGGGGAGTGTGAGTTATAGCGATGGAAGCTCTCTGTCCGCTCTGCCCTGCTAATAAGTCATGGAGATAAGAGAACTGAAGCAGCTTTCTCAGTGTAATTTTTCCTGAATTGGGTAATTAGTTTTATTGACTATCACTGGATATAAATCCCTTTCTGAGCACTCCTGGAAATGTCTAAATTCTAAGACAAGCACCATTATCATAAAATTATATTAAGTTTAACTAACAGAACTCACTTTTTAACATAGGTCAAACACTCAGTGCCCCAGGGTTATGTAGAGACATAAAGATTTCCCAGCTGACATTCCCATTGATGGCTCTGTTCGCTGTCCATTTTATGGATGTAATATAGTTACTGTAAGTTAAAATTTAAAAAGCTGATAACCTATTCAGTGCTAGACCTTTCTTACACATTATCTGATTTAAACCACACTAATTCTATTATATAGGTTCTATCATTTGCTGTATTTTGAAAATAAAAAGAGGCACAGAGAGGTGAAATAACTTGCCCAAAGTAGGCGGAGAATACAAGGCAGTGTGAAGGTTTCTGATTTTAGAGGCCGCACCGTTAATCATATAGCAACCGCCTCTCCAGTCACAAACGTAATGGTGGGAGGGGAACTGGCCATGGCGGCACCTTCCGATCGCCCAGCTCTCCTGCCCCTGCATGCCCTGACCAGAGCCTCTCCGATACTCACTACTTCCAGATGTCACTCTGACTCGGCCCACGCTGAGACTTGGCATCCGGTGAAAAATGTTCTCTGATTCACTTCCAGCATGACTGCCATCTCTCAGCCACCTTCCAGAAAGCCATGGCCAGCTGTCACTGTGCGTTGCCTGGCCTCCTCTCTCAGCCTCCCAATCCACTTTGCTGGTGGAATCCACAGTCCTTGTGGTATCTCTGGGGAAGGGAACTCGGTCTTTTTGTTACCCACTGCCCGTGTCTTTTCTTTGCATAGCCCCATCTGTCTTTTGTTACATCACACAAAAAGTGTTCTTAGCCTGCTCTCCTCAAGTACTCCCCTGTATAATTCTGGAGTGTATATCTAAATTGCTTGCCTGCAGTGTTTAAACAACAATTTGCTTTCTTAAGCAATTTTCACGTTCCCCATGTAAATTCTGGACACTGTTCCTTAAGGTAGAAAGACTCCTTAAGAAACTGTCATTTACGAGGCACTATTTTCTATTAGGAATTCTCCTAGACAACATAGTAATATTTATCAAAATCACAGGGGGAATTAACTCAAACAATGTTTGCAGTTTCTATTATTTTCATTTCACTCATTAAGAGAGAGACACTCAGAGAGGTGACGCCACTAACCCAGCTCACACAACTGATAAATTATGGCTCAAAAAATGAAACCGAAGTCAGCTTCACTCCAAACCCATGTTCTTGTCTTGATAGCTGTGTTTCTCACACCTTCATGAGCACATGCATTACCTGGGGGTCTTGTTAAAATGCAGATCCTGTTTCAAGAGCCTGGGGTGGGGGTCCAAGATTCTGCATTTGTGACAAGCTCCCAGGTAAAAAGAAACTGTTGGTTTGTAGCCCACAAGTTGAGTAGCAAGGCACTACGGAGCTTAGCCAAACTTTTCTTCACAGTGAAAAGGCCATCCTCAGGCCAATCCCTTCTAAATGCCACAAACCTCATGTCATGAATCAAAATGAACACATACCAACTTGACAGGAAGACAGAAGGTTTCTCCTAAAGTGTGCTCCTTGGGTGATGTGCACAGAATTCCCTGGAGTGCCTCTTAAATGCAACTTCCTGGGCCTCACCTCAGGCCTCTGGACCAAAATTGTCCGAAGCAGGACCTGAGAAGCTACATCTATGGCAAGCTCCCCAGGCCCCTATAATGTGCATTCAAGTTTGAGGAGAGCGAGAGTAGCTTAAGCACTGAATGAATGGAATGGAAATGATGATCAGGGAGGCTTATTGAGAAAGATCTGTAGACAAAGGAGCGTGAATGACATCTCCCTGGGGGGGGGGGGGAAGCTTTTTTTTCTGGGGTAAAAAAGTGGGGTTAAAGCTGAAAGGGTGAGTCATAAAGTGTTAGAGTTGGAAGAGGGCCAGCAGACTGGGTATTGACAGACAAATCACCTAGGAGATCTCAAGAAGGAGATTATTCTTTGTTCCTTATAAGGAAGGAGTCACAGCAGCTTTACCCCTTGGATAAAAACTCGATGGATATTAAATATTGAACTGATATACTACATTTTTGATGCTCTCTTGGCTGTGCCTGTAGAGAAGAGGAATGAACAGAAATAAGCTCTTATTTGTAAAGCATTTTCACCATGTGTGTTAACGCTGATGACATAATCTGCTTCCATACATTGCCTCAGAGGGTGTATGAAGGCAAGAATTATTCATTCTCAGCTCACAAGTGAGCACAGCAGGCCCTCGGGACTGGTAGTAACCCCAGGCCAAACCTTCAGACTCCAACATCATGACCATTCTCAGTCCAAGAGCTCCCAGACGTGGCTGTGCATCAAAACCATCGAGAGGAACTCACTCCAGGCCCATGGAGTCCGAGTCTTTGGGAGAGAGCCTGCTAATCTGTATTTTTAAGAACACTGCCACAGGTGATTATGATGCAATCTACCTATGAAACCATGTTTGGGAGCCACTCGACTAGATTATGTGACATGTAATGAGCTTCCTACAACTCAAATGGTCACCTGGAAAGAGAAGAAGTAAAGGGATGGGGGCCTCCTGGGCCCCTTCTGAAGATCCCAATGGTAGCAGCACATTTGAGGGGGCTCGTGTGCTTAGAATGCTGAGGTTAGAAGTAAGGTTCCATAACTGCTGGAGGTGAGAACCTTGAAGAGATTTTCTTTTGAAAAATTGGTCAAAAGAAAACATAGCTCAGAACCTAGATGGTTTTATTAGCAAACCCTTCAAGGTCAAGGGACAATTTTAAATTTCTGTAACTATAAGATTTGAGAAAGTGGAGGAGGGTGCTCCAATGTTGGGTTTAGGATCGGCTCTGGGTTCAAGCCCCTAACAGCTGTGTGGCTTTGCCTAAGTCAACCAATCTCTGAGATGTTCAGCACCGCACTCTGCAGGATATAAAAATGTGAGAAAAGATGAGTGAAAACACACAACACATAATAGGGGCTCTTTATGTATTAGTTGGATTGAATCTGAGATTCCCCAGAGGGGTGGACTAGAGAAAAGGGACAGGAAGTAGGAGACTGCCTCTCTGGCTGCGGGCCAGGCCCAAAGTACCTCAGACTCCATGATCTAGCCCTTCTGTCAGTGCGTCTTCCAAGTTGACAGATGGGTCAGCAACCTGAGCAGTAGGATTGAGGCGTCTCCAGAAAGTTCCTCAGGGATGCAGTGCCTGAAATTTTTATCATTTTGTTATTTAGAGACTGCTCCCTGGGACTTTGCTTGTGATTCTCTTTGAAAAGTGGAAAAGCCCTAATGAGTTGACTTTATTCTAAATTTTAATTGTTCGTCTGACCAGAGAAACCACAACAACATGTGTGTGGGGAGCGTGGGTGGTGTACTGTGGGGGTGCTGTGGAGAAAGAACGCGGTAAGGGAGAAAGGGACACAGGAAAGGGAGCTGAGGGGTGCCAGGGCCAAGTTCTGCTGGCTTCACGGGTCCCCCACCTCAGGCTGATTAGCAACATCACTTGAGGTGCCCCCTAAAGGCGAGAGGTTTGCTATCAGAAGAAACCTGCCCGAGCCTCCACTAATCTCCCTGAATACAGCATTTACACAGAATTTAGGTTTTGTTTCGTCTTACCGTTCTCCTCTTTGACCTCCTATACAAATCATCCGTGCAAACAGGTGTGAGAAAGTAGATTACTCCAGTCAGATTCACCACCTTTTCCACTGCAGGAAGATCCTTGTTGCAAAAAAGGAAATGAAAGTCTACATCAGAACTGAAACTGAGAATGGTGCCATCGAAATGCCAGGGACACAATGTAAGGTTGAGTGGAGGAAGATGGACTCGAGATGCACCTTCCACAAAGGGAAGTGTGTGTGGAGAGGAAGTGCATAGCACTTTCCACAGGACACATGCACATTCTCCCAGCCTCAGAGTGGCAGGGGCTGGAGGTGAAGGCAGCTTATTGCAGAGCTGGTGAGAAGCAAAAGATAATAGTCTCTGGGGAAGAGTAGCAAGGCTAGTGTGGGAAGGTGCCTGCTGCAGCTCTCACTCCCAGCTCATTCCCGGGACAGAGAGCATGCTTAAGAAAACACAACAGCCCCCACCACAGTCATGCCAGGTTAAAAAAGAGCATTGCCCACAGTCACTTTTATTTGGAAGATAAATTCTTCAATATAGCAGGAATCTCACTGTGCTGTGCCTCTGAATCTAGTTCTCTTCCTAACCCCACTAGACAAAGCTGTTGAAATAACATCTACAGTCAAGGCAATTTAAAGGTCTCCCTAAAGTTTCCCTTCTCCCTTTGTCTGGCTCTGTGTTATTTACTAAGGACCCTCCACAATTTCTGAGTGCAATTCTCTCATCTCCCAAACTGGAACAAAGTGACGCCACACCTGGTGAAGTTGAGTAGAGAAAGAGAAATCACCCAACATAGTAAGGCTTACTCGGTCAAAGAAAACATAAAGCTTAAGGGTAAGTGCCAGTCACTAGGCGGCGGCCATGATCTCCTGTTGTGTGAGAATCATTGACTGGCAGCCCCAGCGTTGCATCTCCACACCTACCACAGCAGTCACACTGAGACGCCTCTTCCCAGGGCTGCTCCAGCCAGCAGCACACTAATGCAGGTGTATCCCTGCAAGACAAGCGGTTCCTGTAACAGGTGACTTTGGCAAAAGGACTCACTATCTGCCTCACCCAAACTTTCTGAGAACTTTGCTGTAGAACTCACTTCTTCTTTCCCTCCTCCTGCACAGGTGTCAGACTTCGTGGTTGGAGGCATTTCCCACTTTCTCCTCCTCTCTGTCCTTTATCCTTCATGGCCATTTCCCCTAAAACCCTTTGGCATGTCTACGTTCTGGAGTGTGCTGAGCTGAGAATCTAAACTAATCCACATGTGAAATAAAAAATGTTAGAAAATCATCAACTTGTGAAGGAACCTGCCTCAATATAAAAGGTTAACCTACGACCAGGCACAATTACATCCCGATGTTTCATCTAATTGCTTAAAAATATTTCTAATGGAGACAAGAGAAATATGCTGAATAGTAGAACCTATCAACCCAATCAATTTCAAGGCTGGCTTACTCTTGCAGAATTTGAGGGGAAAGGATGGATTTAAAATATATAGAGAATCAATTTAAGAGGTATGCTAGAAGAAAGCCAGAGAGAGAAGATTGAAGAGATAAGGGAGAATTGATGATTAAAGAAATAAAAAGACCTTTTCCCTGATTTCCTGAGATTAAAGTTGTCACCTTTTTGATTCAGCTTCTATAATTCAAACAGCACAAAAAACAAGAGGAGCTATATGGGGATGTAAAGTGCAGCATATAGAATACAGTCAATAATTTTTCAATGACTATGTATAGTGCCAGGTAGTTACCAGATTAATCAGGGGGATCACTGCATAAATTGTATAACTGTCTAAGCACTGTGCTGTACACCTGAAATGCATATAAATTAATACTGAATGTCAACTGTAACTGAGAAATAAATTAATTACAACAAGAAAAACAAAAAGCAAGAGGAACAAGAAGCCATGTTGTCAACTGCCCGAGGGCTGCAGAAAGAGGTGTTCCTAGAAAACCCTACCATGAGCTCCAAGCTCCGCCAGTCATGTTGGCAGCTTAGGAGCAAAGAACAGGACTCCAAGAGCTAGATTAGGTTATAGTTTTTGGTTGATTATTCTAAGAGGCTGGATACCAGCTGTAATGTTGATAGGAAATGTAGCTCTGAAGTCACCTATTAAGTCACGTAGTGTGATCATCAGGTGCAGGCTGCCAAATCACAGGGACACAGGGAACCTCAATGTGATGTGCTATTAATCTAGAACAGTCTGGAAAGTTGGATGCTGTGATTTCATACAGAGTCCTTAAAAAAAAAAGTTTTTTTGTTTTTTTAACTTTATATCAAAATTCAAAGATATTTTTTAGCTACCTCTCTGAGAAGAATTTATCAATGGGACTCGAGTATGTAACTGATTACTTAGAGATAAGGCAGAGCATATGGTAGTAAATATTTGACTCAGCTCTGCCCAACCTCATGACATGTCTACATAGCTGTTGGTGTCATCAGGGTAACATCTCAATCTGAGTGAAAGTAAAATCCCACTATGGCATTTAAAAAAAAACAAACGGTAAGACATATATATGTTCAGTATCTCACGTTTCCAGAAGAGAGAGGTCTAGTTGTTAATCATCGGTGTTCTCATTGCTTGTCCTCCACTGAAGTGAAACTGTATGCCTATGATGGGCAGGGGAAACCGGCGTCAGCAAACAGACTGCAATTTCAGGCTATCACGCTCTAGCTATTACCAACAGTGGTGAATGCAAAAGTCATATTAAAACGTGTATGTCTCATTTCACACACCATCGTACCCATGGTCATTATGTTAAAGGCCCTGGGTTCTGATTTTAATGAATTCATTTAACCACTCTCTCTTTATGGAGTACCTTAAAATCCCATACTATTTGGTTTGAGATATAGGCAACTGTTTTCTAATGAAGCTACACTAGTGTCACCATGTACATACACTATTTAGGCAATACTAATTTTCAAAGAATTAGAACAAAATCAATTCAACACTAAAATAATCCTGAAAAAAGTTAATACCTTAGATTCACATACATTGTTCTAGCATAAATTTTTTGAGACCTGATTTATTTCATTTTAATAGATCCTTTAAAATAATTTTTGTTTTATTAATTTTCACATTATCAAAATTTTATTAAGTTTGAATATTTAGGAAGGAAGAGAGCTGAAGGAAGTATTTTATGATTTATTAAAACAGGAGTGCTAGCTACTCCTTTTCACAGGTGTAGGAAAAAATTGGAAGTGAAAAAATAATAGTGAAATTTCAGAGTATAAGAAAATTCTCAGTGGGCCATGTCCCTGTGGTTTCCAGCTAGGCTGATAGGACTTCAGAAATCAAAAACAGTCCTCTGGACAAGGGGAAACTCAGGCTCCCCCTGACGGTATATGTTAGCAGAGGTGCCATCATTGCTGTAGGAGTGATGAGAAGCATAGTTTGATTAAGGTGAGCCCCACAAAGTGAATAGTAGAAATATTCCAGCTATCATCACCCTGTCCAACTGGTCAGTGCCTGGACTGCGCCAGTTATGAAACACAGTTTGAATATCACACCTGTGTTTGAAGAGTTGAGGCCATTGGAAAAGCTAGGCAAAAGGAGCCTTTTCACTGCATCAGAGTTGTGTCAGTGAGATGCTTTAAGCTGCAAATACAGCCTATTTGAGCTGGCTGAAATTATAATCTAGGGAAGGCAAGCTCTGATGCCCTTTGCCTGTTTTACCCCCTCCTCTGGTGTTATCCCTGTGCCAGCTCCCTTTAGGCTGTCAACAAGATGGCTGCAGCATCACTTACAGGGAGAGGAACCATTTATTCCTGAGTCTCTGTCTAAAACTTCCCTCAAACACTCGAATAACCTTCCATTAGAGTGTCTTTAATCTGCACTGGGGTCCCATATGCCTTCCTAAAGCAATCCTATGGCCATTAATTGGCTTAAGCCTGGATTTCTGAGCCAATTCCCAGCAAAGACAATAGGGTTAGAGCAATGGTTCTCACACTTGAGTGTGGCCTAGAATCCCCTGGAGGGCTGGGCCCCCAAAGTTAGTGATTCTGTAAATCTGGGTTGGGGACAGAGAATTTGCACATCCAAAACTAGAGTTTTAGAAAAAAACTTAAGTCATCTGCAGGTGATACTGGCCCCCAGACCATCATTTGAGAACCACTGGGTTAGACCTATCAGGGATGCCAACTATGGTTTAGGAAGGGATTCTGCAGCTCTAAAAAGCCCCCAGCTGATGCTGCCGGTCCACAGGCCACTCATTGGGTAGCACAGCCTAGAATGCCTCCTCACACTCTCTCCTCCCTACTCATGTTTATTCCCCTTCCCAGAGCACACTCTCTTCCTCTTACCCTATGCCCACAATGCTTTTGTAGGGTATTTCCTCCTCTGAAGAACAAAGAGAGCAGCATTTGCAGTGTACCTGGGAGTAGCTAACAAAGGGAGAACCCACATCAGTCAGCTCCGAGATCCATGTTCGGTGGGCACATCACTCTCTGGGGTGAGCTCTGGGTTCAGGCAAAGAGGAGGCAAAGATGCACTAATGCGGTATTTGGGTCCAGTTTGTCAGACTGAGGCAACATCCTCCTGGCTGAATGCTTGGTTAACCAGCTAGACTTTCTATAAAAAGGTCAGCATAATTGTGAGTGAACTGAGGGAGGACTTTTTCATTTCAGTAGCATCCTTTATAAAAAAAGGCTTCAATCACACTACAGTGAACATTGCAATTTATTACAAAAATATCATGATATGAGTGATCTCTTTAATCCTAATGCACTGGTCCTGCTCTGGGAGGGGGACATGTCAGCTGGGACTGATGTAGGAATTCATCACTGTCCTCAGCCTTCCCTTTTGTCTATTCTTTGCTTAAAATATTTTATTTAGAAGCTACAGGAGACAGTGGAAATGGATCACCCCCAAGCTCTCAATGTTGGCAATGAATTATACTCATGAGAAATGATCGCAGCTAAGGCAGGCAGGAGGGCCAGTGCAGGTAATCACGGTGCAATGACAGCATTAGGCCCAACAGCCCTGGGCCAGGCCAGCTGATGGATGACTTTTGTGAAGAACAGGGTAAGAGCACTTGGCAGCAACAGCTAAGGCTTCCTTCCGATCTTCAAACATCACATTGGCTTTTCTCAAGAATGAGATGAAGCACTTCTGTGAGGCCATGTGGCTAAAGCAATCACTTACTAAACGATGGGGGTCAGAGAAAGAGAAAAATAAACCTTGAGAAGACATGGTTACTGTACCCTTTGGACTGCCTCCAGCAGTTCAAGAAACCCCCTGAGCAAGAGGAAATGGAAATTGAGGAAGTGGATGTTGGCTGATAACACGTGTTGAGGGGAAAAAAATGGCGCTAAACATCTTGGCCCAGTACCTGCTATTGAAGAGCAAGTAGAGAGGTCAGATGTCTGGGCCTATGGGTTACAATCCTGACAAGGTGGGAAAGGCTGCAAAGTTGGCTGTGTAAATGGAACAAAAGGAGAGAGGAAGGAGAAGGGAAATAATGTGAAAGGAACGTGTGTAGACGTGGATAACCGAGATGGAAGCTTGGGTGGACCAGTCTCTAAGGGCTGTGCTATTTAATAGCTCAGAGGGAGTCAGTTGGGGATAAAAGGTACATTTGACATATTTAGTGACTGCCATCAATTCTGTGTTCAGACAGCATAATCTCAATGGAAAAATGGCAATCTTGTGAATGGCCCTGTTGAATATGAAAGATAAGGCTATGGCATAATCTGAGAGAAGCAGGTTTAAGGCAAAGCAAAGATTAAATTGCTCTGCTTTACAGTGAATGGGAATCTTGGATAGTTAACAGGAAATGAAGGCCTGAGAATTGAGAGAAGAGATAGGAGAAAGCTCTCATGAGGGAAGATGGACGTTAGCATCATGGTGGAGAGGCAGGTCCAGTGAGATTTCTAACTCAAGTTAGAAACCTCTAACTATACCAAATACACCGATGGAGACACCGTGTCTCTAAATCCTTGCTCATGGCTCACATTGCTGCTCTCAGGAATCACACAGAACATGTATCATCTCTGAAGTTACCTTAGTCACATGCCCCAACCTCTAGCCTTCTTTCCTCTGCTCATCTCCCCAGTTCCTCTTTGGACTGGTGCCGTGGGGGAGGGGACCCAGACTGTGGGCAGGGCCTGTGTCCTCAGAAGGAGGAGACAGAAGAATGGAGCCATCTTTTGACTATTTTCCTTGGATGCTTCACACCACCTTCCCTAGGTTTCTTTCATTATAGTCCTACCAGCAGTCATGACAGGGCATTACCTCAAGTTGTTGAAAGACTGCTTATTGGATATGAGCTCAAAGGGAGAAGTTTCTTCCCATGCTCTTGTCTACCCCCGGTTTGCTCCATTCCCCCAATCGAAGAAGGAAGAAAACCACACCGCCTTCTAAAAGCAGTTCTGGAACTGGAAAGGCCTCTCTTGATATTTTGCACCAGGATATCCTCATAAACCAGGAGCCTCTGCTGATGGGATGCAAGGTATTGTACCGAAAGCCAATTTGTAGCAGGGATGACATAGCGGAATACACAGGACACCAGACATGGCTGCATGGCAGTCAGGGTGCCAACGCCTCCAGGCACCACTGATAGGCTGTCTGACTCTTACGTTCACACACACACACTCCTATACTGCAGTGGCAACCGATAGCGGATGTCCCATCATGGCACAGGCCACCCTGCTGCAAACTGAGGTACAGCAATGAGAACTCACAGAGGCCAAAATAAAAAAGGATGTGCTATAATAACCGAAACAAGCAAATTCAAGCCGCCACAAGTTAGAATGTATCCCAAGCCAACTGCGTCCAAACATTCAGCTCTCAGTTACTCAGAGCCTGTGAATGGTAGTGAAATGGAATTATACCATTTGTGATCTACCATGACCTGTGAAAATTTGAATTAACTGGAAGAAGGATAGCAGCTAATAACAGTAAAAGGCTAAATTTCAGTTTTCAGAAACCAGCCAAAACTGATTAAATGGGCAGATGGGTTTTGACAGCTCGTAGTCTGAGTGTCACGAAATAAACAACACTGGTTAATATGCTCTGTCATGGAAGACCGAGCAGACGATATTTCATGCTTTTTAAAACTGACTGAACAACATCATACAAGAGCACACTAGAGCAACCATTAAAATAACCACTGGCTCCTCAGAGCCTAACAAAGTCCAGGTGAACCGACCTTACCCTTCACTTAGTTTCAGGCACCCCTCCACCCACCCATCCAGTCGCCCTCCCCCACCCCATCCATCTAACCAACAGATATTTGTGTGTACTTCTTTCTTGTCAGAAATTGACATGCTGAGTCACATCAGCAGGCATTCGCTTTCTACAGCTTTTCTCTTCTATTCGCCCTGGTTTGGGTCATCATAAGGGCACAGATTATAACTCATGACTCACGGCTGCCAGGCAGATGGGAACCAAACCCTGGTAATCAAGGTTAGCTTCTCAGAACCCTTCCCAGGACAGGTGCCAGGAGCAGAAAGCTGGGTTGCATCACTTGCTGAGATGCCAAACTGAGGAGGCATGAAGGTAGATGATGGCATACACAGCACGAGAGCCATTAGGGCAGCGGTGTCAGAAGCTGGGTTTAGATCAGGATGAAGCAACAGGTAATGACGTGCCCAGGCAGTGGGCCCTAGAC